TTTAAATCAATTTAAATCAATTTAAATCAATTTAAATCAATTTAAATCAATTTAAATCAATTTAAATCAATTTAAATCAATTTAAATCAATTTAAATCAATTTAAATCAATTTAAATCAATTTAAATCAATTTAAATCAATTTAAATCAATTTAAATCAATGTAAATCAATTTAAATCAAAGTTAATAAAAAAAATTAAATAAATTATAACATAGATTAAAATAAATAATTAGCACTTCTTACGGTTCGACCTAACATAAAAAATATGATGCGCTAACTTATAAAAACGACAAATTTAGATTTCCTGACACCTTAACAGCCTAGTCCTCCACTTGAACTCCAATTTCGACTGCAAACGATCGTCTTTCGTGCATCGTCGGTGCCTTGCTGTTTAGAGTTATAACCTTAATAGTATGTTCAAGTAGCGATAAATATTGATGTATGCGGATTTTATTTGTCTTTTTTTATTTTAGAGTGAATTAATCTACGAAGTTTTACTTCACTCTTTTTTTAATACTTAGTTTTTTTATGCTACTGATATTATTCCAAGTAACCTTACTTAATGATTCTTTCGTCATTTATAACCGAGATACAGGTAGTTTTATTAACTTTGCCAATTTCTTTTTTGTTTCATAACTTACTAACCACCCTTACATGTTATTGAAATTTGGCACATGTATTCTCTACAACTTACCTTAATCTATTAACGTATTAATAAGAAACAAAATGCAGTTCCATCTTTTCAAAAAAATTTAAAAATTTTTCTATCCTTATAAGAACGCACTACAAGTCGTTAAATTTGTATCCATATTTGGAAAAAGCACAAAAAAAATAATTATATGCTTTTAATTTTTACTAGATGATTTTATTACTAAAATTAACTGTTTTTATATTATTTTTAAACTAAGCATATTTTTAAAAGTTACATGTTATGCGTGTACACTACAATAAAATGTACTTACAAGTCCATATTTATGACTAAATATAATCATTACTTTTTAATTAATCACTGCATGCCGTACCAACATCATAATCATAATCATAATCGCTATACTCTAGGCAAAATTGATTCAAAGCATTGCTTTTGGTAGGTACTGATAGGCACAGATATATAAAAGTACCAACATAATATATAGCTTTTAAAAATTCAGTTGGAATTAAATTATCCTCATTATAACGTATTGAAGTTACTTAAAAACCCCTTTAGTTTCATTTTTTATCTCCAAAATGCTCAAAAATAAAAATTTAAACGTTATATTTTAGCAGTAAAATCATTGTACAATAACATGACTAATTTTAGTTTTTTCTGGTCTCTTTAAATATGGAAACGAACTTAACTAATTCAGAAATGTACTTTTTTGTGTAACTCGAAAGTAATAATTTGAAGTTAAAAATGTTTGTAGTAAAATACATTCACCGACCTAAAATTTGATCCATTCAAAATAATGATTTATATAAAAATGCTCTAACTTTCAAAGGCTTATTTATTTGAAGTTTTTAGCAACTTTTAGATAAAATACTGTAGTTTTAAGATTATTATTCGGACATCTAAAAGTAATTTAGTACTCGCCGGATATACGGGGGGGGGGGGGGGGAGAAAACAATTTTTTCTTCTACTTTTGACCCACCCTGTAGGTTAATTCTGCTAGTAGATCTGCATACGATTAACTTTATTAAGAAGACTGATTTGTTGCCAACACTTTGTTTTTTATTTACCCCGATATCTTAATTTTTTGTGAAATGTGACGGTTTAAAGAAAATGCTACATTTTAGAAACGGTCATAATTTAAATGACGGTAATTATTATTCATTATCAGCATAATATCATGGTTTTAACGCTTACTGATGCAACATGAGCAGTTGCTCTGGTACAAGACGGTAGGACTCAGTATTATACTTCTAGAATATTGGGTGTTACAAGGTGTAGCGTCCAGAGAGTTGTACAAGGTTTTAATGAAACTGGTAGTTTTTCGAGACGAAGAGAATCTGGCAGACGACGTTCTACAAATGTTCGAGATGATCGTTTTATGACATTAAATGTTTTGCGAGAAAGAAATACTACTGCTGTCATGGCTCGAAACCGTTTAGAAGAAGTACATCAACTAGCTGTTAACGAAATAACGATTCGAAGGCGATTACGAGAACATGGATTACGCTCCAGAAGACCTGCAACTGGTCCAGAGTTACTTAGGAATCACAGAACAGCACGTCTTCGATTTTCCAGGGAGCATTAACATTGGAATATCGATGAATGGAGTAAGATTTTATTTTCTGACGAGTCAAGGTTTTGTTTAACGAATATACCGAAGAAGAGGCGAAAGGTTTGACCAAGCAAAATTTTCCACAAGACTCAGTTATGAAGGAGGATCGGTAATGGTTTGGGGCGGCATAAGCATGGAAGCTCGTACTGATTTAGTCATTGTTGGCGGCGGAGCAATGACAGCTTACCGATATATTCGTGATGTGCTAGATCCATATGTAATTCCATTTGCACCATTTATAGGAAATGAATTCATGTTTATGCATGACAACGCTCGACCACATATTGCGAGGATTGTATCTCAATATTTGGACGAAACAGAAATTCAGAGGATGAACTGGCCATCACGTAGCCCAGACCTCAATCCAATTGAGCACGTCTGGGACATGATGGGCAGACGAGTTCATAACCGAGTTTCTTCTCCAAGTATTTTAAATTTTTTGAGAGATGCTTTGATCCAAGTATGGGATCAGATTGACCAGATGAAGATTCGATATCTAATAGAGGGTATGCCATGACGCATTGAGGCAGTTATTCGCGCTCGTGGGGAAAAACCCGTTATTAATTTGTAATAATTATTAGTTTATTTGTTGTTTGAGTTGTTTATAAAATTATGTATTACTCTGCTAAAACTGAATAAAAAAATTAAGAATGTTGCATTTTCTTTAAACCGTCACATTTCACAAACAAATTAAGATATCGGGGTAAATAAAAAAACAAAATGTTGGAAACAAATTAGTCTTCTTGATAAAGTTAATTGTGTGCAGATCTGATAGCAGAATTAACCTACAGGGTGTGTCAAAAGTAGAGGAAAAAATTGTTTTCTTTTCCCCCCTGTATATTCGGCGAGTACTAAATTACTTTTAGATGTCCGAATAATAATGTTAAAACTACAGTATTTTATCTAAAAGTTGCTAAAAACTTCAAATAAATCAGCCTCCGCATTTGAAAGTTAGAGCATTTTTAAATAAATCATTATTTTGAATGGATCGAATTTTAAATCGGTATAGTCTATGCGCAAAAATAATAAAGACCGCTGGATTTATGTTTTGGGTACTTCTCAGGTAATGTTAGGTTAGGTTTGCAAACTGGTCGTGTTAATGCACTTGAAACTGGAGAATCAACCATATAAGGTCGATAGATACTTAAAACAGTTCCAACGAACATGTAAAAGATATTAGCAGGAGGCCGGCGATAACTTGCTCAGGTGGTGATTTTAGTGGGTAAAGGGTAAAACTATTGGGAAAGGGAGAACCTGTACCGAATCTCTATAAGGGATTTCCACATATCAAAAAATATCAAGAAGTTACTTCATCGAAAACTATTTTTTGGGCCAGTGTATCTAAAAATATACACAATCAAAAACTAAAAAGAAAATAATTTGAAAATGGAATGAATTATTTTATCAAATACAAAACAAAAAAAGAAATCACATTGGAATAAAAAACAATAAGAAATCGTATAATTTGAGGGTCGGCTTTGGCGCTGAACGTGTTAAATGTTTAGGATGTAATAAGATACTTAATTTAAAAATGTATCTATATACTTGCTGGATGTTATAAGAATGGCAGTTTTTCTGTAGAAATGGTACACTGTGACGTAACAACTGGATGTCACAAGATGCAAGGTTTTTCTGGATGTCACAAAGTGTTGTTAATAAAAATATATACCGTGTATACTTTGGATCTCACAACGATAGGACGTTTTATTTTTTTAAAATGTGTATGGTTGTGATATTTTTCGCTCAGCCATAATATTTTTTTAATTAAAAGAAGTCATATTTTTATTTTTTTCCTAAAGTCTTTGCAAAGGGTGGATGTCACAAAGTCAAAATTTTTGCTGGATGTCACATGATACGCTGGTCGAGTATATATATATATATATATATATATATATATATATATATATATATATATATATATATATATATATATATATATATATATATATATATATATATATATATATGTATGTCAAAGGGCAGTTTTTAGGACATTTTGCAACCCCTATATATAAACGTATACATTTGTATACATTTGATATACAAACGTATATATCCAACTTTTAGTTCAAAATATGCCAAAATAACTTATATATAGGTATTTTAATATGGATTGGCATATATGGGAACATTGACTTTTATCATATACAGTGTGTCTTAAAACTAAAAATGGAGAAATTACTCGATGACTAATGTCATATTTGAATTCACTGACAAACAAAATTCTTTTCTGAAATATTTTGTAGAAATCCTGTTTTACATTTTTATTTTAAATACCATTTAAAATAAAATTTCTTCATTATTTATAGTTTGCTAGAGTCGTCCAAAGTATTTTAATACTGGTTAAAAAATCCAAAAATTATACAGGTATTTAAATATGGATATACATGTACGGCAACATAAACTTGGAACAACTGTGGGAAAAAGTACGCAAAAAATAATGTCAGATTTAAATATTAACCTAAGAAACTCTTTTTGCAATTGTTTCTAAAAGTAGATTTGCACTTGTATTTTTTATATTTTAAATAGTATTTTAAAAAAATATTTTCATTGTTTTGCTAAAGGGGTCCAATTTATTTTAAAATGCTGGGTTTTTGGGGCAAAAAAACCAAATCTGAATGTTGTTCTTGTCCACCGCAACCTTTTTAGACCTATTGTGGGACTTCGTTACAGAGTATGTCTTCTTAGCTTAGTCTTTATTAATAAAACTTATAAGCTTCAGAAACGTCAATCTAGCCTTCACACTGACACGTGAAGTGGATTATTTTTATCTTCTTCTTCACCGAACCTGCACAATGTTGCTTTATCTGCTTGATTGATGACATTCTGTATAATATCAAATTCAATGTTCTAATATGCTAATACATATACAGGGTGGACCAATTATCTCCCCGCAGAGTATAGCGCCGAAACTAATTGAGATATCAAAATAAAACAAAAACCGATTTGTTTTGTTCAAAAATCCCCATAACTAGAAAATAGTTTCATTTATACAGAGTACTCAAAGTTCAAGTAGCAAAACATTTTGATAAAATTTATATTTAAAACGCCCTGTATATTTTTAAATTTTTAGATTTCTACTTCAATGACCTTTACAAAAATGCATTGTTTTTGTAAACATAATGCTGTATTGCCATGTTATTCAAATTTTTCTTAAATTTACTGAAAAATCGGTACATTTTAAAAATATTCAAAAACTCTTTTATTCTACAAATTCGAAAAATAAGTTTTGGCTAAAGTTAGTTGAGACCCGAACTTCTTATCTCGTCCATATTTCATAATTATTTCAATATGTACATATTATAAGATATTATATTTTCGAAAATTAAACTATAAAAAACTTTGTTTTTTTAAATGAAACGGTCTGTATATTATTCAATATTTTGAAAGCCTATTACACAAGCTTTCCACGGATGCAACTTCTTATAGGTTTAAATTAAATCATTTTGAAATTTTTAAAAGAAAAGTTCATTAAGCGGGAATAAAAACTAATTTACAAATTTACCGAAAAAATTGTATTTACTTATTTTTAAACTACAAAAAATGCTCAAAATGTCTTCCATTTTGTTCAATGCATTTCCGTAGCCTTTTTTTTTAATGAACTACGGACGTTTGTAAGCATTTCAGGAGTGATTGTTGTGAAGGCGTCTTGAATGCGTTCTTTCATATTTTTTTTGTAGTGTCCTGTTCACTGTAAAACTTCTCCTTAATATGACTCCACAAAAAGAAATCCAAGGGAGTGAGATCAGGGGACCTACCAGGTCAAGATATGGGACCTGCTCGCCCTATCTAATGATTTCCAAATTGAGCCAATTACGGACGTTTAACTGGTAAGGTGGCGTAGCACCATCTAATTGAAACCACAATATATTGGCACACGCTGTCCTGTAAAATAATTTTTTAAAAATGATAGAAATATTGCGTCATTTACAGTTCCATTAAAAAAAAAAGTACCTATACATAGTTATCTATTATGCCCGCCCAAACATTCAGTGACCACCGGACTTAAGACGTTGTTCTAAAAAGATGCTTGTTTGTGTCTGGGTAATAATGAAAATTGTGTCTATATATACAGAACTATTTTTAGCTTTATTTTATCACAATAGAAATTTTGTTAAGAAAATTGCGTCCTGTATTTATCTTATTAATTAGCCAACTACAATTTGCCACTCTCTGTGCGAAATCTTGAGGTAATAATTTTTGATATAGCTGAATGTGATATGGATGAAACTTATTTTTCTTAATAATGCGCCTTATGGTAGTCCTCAAAATATTTAAATGGTTACTTAGTTTCCTCTTACTTGTATATGGATTTTCAATAATACTAGTGATTGGCCAAAATTTCATTTTCTTCAGTAAGTACTGTAGCAGTTCGATGGTGTTTTTCATAATCCACATTACCGCTTCTTTCTCTATACTTGTTTTAAGACATACTGTATATTATCAAAGTCAAAGTCCCCATATATGCCAATACATATTTTAATACCTAAATATTACTTCAGATTTTGATTTTTTAACCACAAAAACAAAGGAATATGATTTATTTTACGATTCTGGTAAGCTCCATTAACATTCTGTTTTAAATGCCATTTAAACTTCAAAAACTACAAGGGCAAATAAATGTTTATAAAATATTGCAAAAAAAGCGTTTTCGAGGTCAGTGAACTCAAATCTAAAGTTATTTTTGTCGTATTCTTTCCTATAGTAGTTTTAAGACACACTATATATTATCAAAGTTAATGTCCTCATATATGCCAATCCATGTTTAAATACCTAGATTTTATTTTAGATTTCGTGTTTGAAATCCCAAAATCATAGGACTAAGAAACATTGGACGACTCTAAAGCAAACTGTGTAGACATCTTTTGTATTAAATGCCCTTTAAAGAATAAAAAGTGCGAGTTTAAATGGATTTTTAAAAAATATTGCTATAAAGCGTTTTCGAGGCCAGTTAAACTCAAATCTGACATTTTTTTGCGTAAGTTTTCCTATACTTGTTTTAAGACATACTATATATTATCAAAGTCAAAGTCCCAATATGCCAATCCATGTTTAAATACTTATGTATTACTTCAGATTTTGTTAGCCCAAAAACTCAGAAATATGAAATATTAGGCGATTCTGGCAAGCTCAGTTAACATTTGGTTTTAAATGCCATTTAAACTTCAAAATGTACGAGGGCAAATTATTAATGTTTATAAAATATTGCAAAAAAAGCGTTTTCGAGACTAGTGAACTTAAATCTAAAGTTATTTTTGTCGTATTCTTTCCTATAGTCGTATTCTTTCCTATATTATCAAAGTTAATGTCCTCATATATGCCAATCCATTTAAATACCTAGATAATATTTAATATTTCGTGTTTGAAATCCCAAAATCATAAGACTAAGAATTATTGGACGACTCTAAAGCAAACTATGTAGACATTGTTTGTATTAAATGCCTTTTAAACTATAATAAGTGCGAGTGCAAATGGATTTTTATAAAAAATTGCTCCAAAGCGTTTTGGAGGCCAGTTAAACTCAAAACTTACATTTTTTTTTGCTTAAATTTTCCCTATACTTGTTTTAAGAGACAATGTTTATTATCAAAGTCAAAGTCCCCATATATGCCAATACAAATTTTAATACCTAAATATTACTTCAGATTTGAATTTTTTAACCCCAAAAATGGAGGAATATAATATATTTGACCATTCTGGTAATCTTCGTTAACATTCTGTTCTAATTACCATTTAAACTTCAAAAAGTACGAAGGCAAATAAGTGTTTATAAAATATTGCAAAAAAAGCGTTTAAAATCCAAAAACCATAGGACTAAGAAATATTCGACGACTCTAAAGCAAAAAGTGCGAGTGCAAATGAATTTTTATAAAATATTGCAATAAAGCACCTTCTAGTTCAGTTATCTTAAATCTGACCTCATTTTTTGCTTAAAATCCCAAAATCATAGGATTAAGAAACATTGGACGACTCGAGAGCAAACTGTGTAGAATTTTTTGTACTAATGCATTTTAAACTGTAAACAGTAACGAGTGAAAATGGATTTTTATAAAGTATTGCTATAAAGCGTTTTCGAGGCCAGTTAAACTCAAATCTGACATTTTTTTGCGTAATTTTCCTATACTTGTTATAAGACACACTGTTTGTTATCATAATATGCCAATATATATTTTAATACCTAAATTATTACTTCAGATTTGAATTTTTTAAACACAAAAACGCAGGAATATGATCTATTTTACGATTCGGTGATCTCCGTTAACATTCTGTTTTAGATGCCAATTAAACTTCAAAAAGTACAAGGGCAAATAAATGTTTATACAATATTGCACAAAAGCGTTTTTGAGGCAAGTAAACTCAAATCTAAAGTTATTTTTGTATTATTCTTTCCTATAGTAGTTTAAGGACACACTGTGTATTACAAAAGTTAATGTCCCCATATATGCCAATCCGTATTTAAATACCTAGATAATATTTCTGATTTTGGGTTAGAAATCCCAAAATTATAGTACTAAGATTCATTGGACGACTCTAAAGCAAACTGTGTAGAAATTGTTTGTATTAAATGCCTTTTAAAGAATAAAAAGTGCGATTGCAAATGGATTTTTATAAAATATTGGTCTAAAGCGTTTTCGAGGCCAATTAAACTCAAATCTGACATTTTTTTGCGCAATTTTCCCTATACTTGTTTTAAGACACACTGTATATTATCAAAGTCAAAGTCCCCATATATGCCAATACATATTTTAATACTTACTTCAGATTTTGATTTTTTAACCCCAAAAACGCAGGAATATGATATATTATACCATTCTGGTAATCTTCGATAACATTTTGTTATAAATGCCATTTAAACTTTATAAAGTACGAAGGCAAATAAATGTATATAAAATATTGCAAAAAAGCGGTTTTGAGGCCAGAGAACACAAATCTTAAGTTATTTCTGTCGAAATCTTTCATATAGTATTTTTAAGACACACTGTATATTATTAAAGTTAATGTCCTCATATATGCCAATCCATGTTTAAATACCTAGATAATATTTTAGATTTCGTGTTTGAAATCCCAAAATCATAGTACTAAGATTCATTGTACGACTCTAAAGCAAACTGTGTAGAAATTGTTTGTATTAAATGCCTTTTAAACAATAAAAAGTGCGAGTGCAAATGGATTTTTATAAAATATTGGTCTAAAGCGTTTTCGAGGCCAATTAAACTCAAATCTGACATTTTTTGCGTAATTTTCCCTATACTTGTTTTAAGACACACTGTATATTATCAAAGTCAAAGTCCCCATATATGCCAATACATATTTTAATACTTACTTCAGATTTGGATTTTTTAACCCCAAAAACGCAGGAATATGATATATTATACCATTTTGGTAATCTCCGATAACATTTTGTTTTAAATGCCATTTAAACTTTAAAAGTACGAAGGCAAATAAATATTTATAAAATATTGCAAAAAAAGCGGTTTTGAGGCCAGAGAACACAAATCTTAAGTTATTTCTGTTGAAATCTTTCATATAGTATTTTTAAGACACACTGTATATTATTAAAGTTAATGTCCTCATATATGCCAATCCATGTTTAAATACCTAGATAATATTTTAGATTTTGTGTTTGAAATCCCAAAATCATAGTACTAAGATTCATTGGACGACTCTAAAGCAAACTGTGTAGAAATTGTTTGTATTAAATGCCTTTTAAACAATAAAAAGAGCGAGTGCAAATGGATTTTTATAAAATATTGGTCTAAAGCGTTTTCGAGGCCAATTAAACTCAAATCTGACATTTTTTTGCGTAATTTTCCCTATACTTGTTTTAAGACACACTGTATATTATCAAAGTCAAAGTCCCCATATATGCCAATACATATTTTAATACTTACTTCAGATTTGGATTTTTTAACCCCAAAAACGCAGGAATATGATATATTATACCATTTTGGTAATCTTCGATAACATTTTGTTATAAATGCCATTTAAACTTTATAAAGTACGAAGGCAAATAAATGTTTATAAAATATTGCAAAAAAAATCGGTTTTGAGGCCAGAGAACTCAAATCTAAAGTTATTTCTGTCGAAATCTTTCCTATAGTATTTTTAAGACACACTGTATATTATCATAGTTAATGTCCTCATATATGCCAATCCATGTTTAAATACCTAGATAATATTTTAGATTTCGTGTTTGAAATCCCAAAATCATAGTACTAAGATTCATTGGACGACTCTAAAGCAAACTGTGTAGAAATTGTTTGTATTAAATGCCTTTTAAACAATAAAAAGTGCGAGTGCAAATGGATTTTTATAAAATATTGGTCTAAAGCGTTTTCGAGGCCAATTAAACTCAAATCTGACATTTTTTTGCGTAATTTTCCCTATACTTGTTTTAAGACACACTGTATATTATCAAAGTCAAAGTCCCCATATATGCCAATACATATTTTAATACTTACTTCAGATTTGGATTTTTTAACCCCAAAAACGCAGGAATATGATATATTATACCATTTTGGTAATCTCCGATAACATTTTGTTTTAAATGCCATTTAAACTTTAAAAGTACGAAGGCAAATAAATGTTTATAAAATATTGCAAAAAAAAAGCGGTTTTGAGGCCAGAGAACCCAAATCTTAAGTTATTTCTGTCGAAATCTTTCATATAGTATTTTTAAGACACACTGTATATTATCAAAGTTAATGTCCTCATATATGCCAATCCATGTTTAAATACCTAGATAATATTTTAGATTTCGTGTTGGAAATCCCAAATACATAGTACTAAGATTCATTGGACGACTCTAAAGCAAACTGTGTAGAAATTGTTTGTATTAAATGCCTTTTAAACAATAAAAAGTGCGAGTGCAAATGGATTTTTATAAAATATTGGTCTAAAGCGTTTTCGAGGCCAATTAAACTCAAATCTGACATTTTTTTGCGTAATTTTCCCTATACTTGATTTAAGACACACTGTATATTATCAAAGTCAAAGTCCCCATATATGCCAATACATATTTTAATACTTACTTCAGATTTTGATTTTTTAACCCCAAAAATGCAGGAATATGATATATTATATCATTTTGGTAATCTCCGATAACATCTTGTTTTAAATGCCATTTAAACTTTAAAAAGTACAAAGGCAAATAAATGTTTATAAAATATTGCAAAAAAAGCGGTTTTGAGGTCAGAAAACTCAAATCTTAAGTTATTTCTCTCGAAATCTTTCCTATAGTATTTTTAAGACACACTGTATATTATCAAAGTTAATGTCCTCATATATGCCAATCCATGTTTAAATACCTAGATAATATTTTAGATTTCGTGTTTGAAATCCCAAAATCATAGTACTAAGATTCATTGAACGACTCTAAAGCAAACTGTGTAGAAATTATTTGTATTAAATGCCTTTTAAACAATAAAAAGTGCGAGTGCAAATGGATTTTTATAAAATATTGGTCTAAAGCGTTTTCGAGGCCAATTAAACTCAAATCTGACATTTTTTGCGTAATTTTCCCTATACTTGTTTTAAGACACACTGTATATTATCAAAGTCAAAGTCCCCATATATGCCAAAACATATTTTAATACCGAAATATTATTCAGATTTGGATTTTTTAACCCCAAAAAGGCAGGAATATGATATATTATACCATTCTGGTAATCTTCGATAACATTTTGTTATAAATGCCATTTAAACTTTATAAAGTACGAAGGCAAATAAATGTTTATAAAATATTGCAAAAAAAAATCGGTTTTGAGGCCACAGAACTCAAATCTAAAGTTATTTCTGTCGAAATCTTTCCTATAGTAGTTTCAAGACACACTATTTATCAAAGTTAATGTCCTCATCTATGCCAATCCATGTTAAAATACCTGAATAATATCTTAGATTTCGTGTTTGAAATCCGAACATCATAGGACTAAGAAACTTCGACGACTCTAAAGCAAACTGTGTAGACATTTTCTGTATTAAATACCTTTTAAACAATAAAAAGTGCGAGTGCAAATGGATTTTTATAAAATATTGCAATAAATCACTTTCCAGGTCAGTAAACACAAATCTGACATTATTTTTTGCTTAATTTTCTCTATAGTCGTATTAAGACTCATTACTTATTAAAGTCATTGCCCCCATATATGGCCTTCCCTATTTAAATACCTATTTATTACTTTAGATTCGGATTTTTCGACCTCAATATCGCAGGATTACGATACATTGTACGATTTTAGTAAATTCTATTTTAAATGCCATTTAAACTACAAAAAGTACTACCGCAAATGAATTTTAATTAATTTATGCAAAAAAGCGTTTTTGAGGGCAGTGAACTTAAAATCGACATTATGTTTCATAATCGTTTTAAGATACACTGTATATTATAATCAAAGTCAATATTTTCATATATGCCAATCAATATTTAAATACCTCACTTCAAATACGAAGTTTAAAAAAAAGTTGTATAATATTCGCATTTTTTAACCACAAAACCTTGGATTAAGGTAAATTAATTTTTTATTTATTGTCCTCAAAAACGCCGAACGGCATAATGTCCTTAAAACAACCTATCTATATGTAATCTTATGAGGACAGTCTCCAAACATGCCATAATACATAAAATCTTATGAGGACCGACCTCATAAGCACCAAATGTCCTCGAATCTGCCATTAGTTACTACTTTTCGTCCTCAAAACTGCCTTTTGACATATATATATATATATATATATATATATATATATATATATATATATATATATATATATATATATAGTCTTACCCCCCTAACTAACTCGTTACTGGAGTCTTGTTAGGAAAATCGCCGGGACAGGTCGATTTTTGTTTTCTACAATGAACATTTTTTTTTGATTAATTTATCCTTAATTTCATCCCTTACTCGAGGGGAGCAACCCTTTCGAAAAATTTAAATGGCATGGGGTGGTGAGTGATAGCTCATTTGAAAGAGGGTTTTATTCTCTATTCAACCATGTAAAAAATTTTGAAATTTGCTTTATTAATTCTCGACTAATTTTTGTTTCAGAATAACGGAAATTAACGTAGCACACTCATCCTTAGAATTAAAATTCGGCCCTGCATGATTTCGGTTTTGGTTCAGACGTGAAGTAAGACTTTTTGTCATTAGAAGGTCACTATTAGTTTAGTTGCTTTCCTATTTTGTGAGATTTTGTTATTTTTAAACATTATTAAATCAACACGTAATGAAGCAAATTTAAATTTTTTTTTGCAAGGTTGAATAGAGAATAAAACCCCCTTTCAAATGAGCTATCACTCACCACCCCATGCCATTTAAATTTTTCGAAAGGGATGAAATTAAGGGTAAAATAATCATACAAAAATGTACATTGTAGAAAACAAAAATCGACCTGTCTCGGCGATTTTTCTAACAAGACTCCAGTAACGAGTTAGTTAGGGGGGTAAGACTTAAGATTCTCACTGTATATAATTTATCATTAGAAGTAATAAAAAAAATATTTTTCAACAATTAATATATTTATTTAATTTACCATTTTTTTGTGGGTTGCAGAAAATATGCTATATAACTCTAATGGATCGTCCATATCGCGATTGGACAGCGTCGTTCTCAAACTTTGTCCTCGTGCAATTTTTCAATATTTAGAATTATCTAGTAATATTTAATAAATTATCACAAACTAGTTTAGCAACTTCTTCGCAAGCCTCTAGCGAATAAAATACGTTTCTGGATGGTTTACAAGCTCCAAAAACTGTACGTTGGCATTTGTTTTCCCACACATTCCAACGATAAATTACAGAAATTTCTTTGCAGTCTTTTTCGGTTTCAGATGAATCGTTCTCTTTGTCCTTCCAACAATCTAAAAGGATAAAGAAAAATATAATTATTCTGACTTAATTCACAAAGCATCTCTAAATTTACCCACATGTAAATCCTTAAATAGAGAAATGTCATTATAATGAATGTTATTTAATTAATTTTTATAATCTTTTCTAGAAAGGTATTAGCCAATATTTAATTTGTTGACTTTTCTTAACTAAATAAAAGTTCCTTTATATAATCGATAATGAATTTTTTTTTAAAAAGCACAACATATATTTGGGAAAACCATTTTTCCATCATGATGCAGTCACAAATAAAATAAAATAAATTTATTTTTTTTTTTTAAAACCGAAACCACATCTTATTGTTTCACATACGAGCAGTGTATGTGTATTGTGTATTTGTGACTGCACTAAAAGATAGAAAAACTTTTTTCCGAAACATATTGTTGTTTTTTTATTTTAAAAAAGTTTAAATATTCCAATTTATATTTAGTAAATACACGAACTTGTTTTATAACTAATTTATTTGCTTCGGAGTGAGGGTAGCCATATGTGAGTAGTAGGGATTAAGTGTAAGGGGTTAAAGAAAAGGTCCTTTATTTCTCACAAGTCAATTTAATTGGCGACCGGTTTCGAAGCTGTCACTTCATCATCAGGCACACCTAAATGGAATGTCAAGGAGTCAGTTGTAATAAAAAACAATTTTAAATGCATGAACGGACTTTAACATATACAAAATAACAAAAAAAACACAAAAGAAGTTAAACAATAACCTTGACTCACCCTGACTATTTCCATAAAGGAAGCGCTACATAAAGTTTAACTCGTTTACGAAAATATAAAAGCCTAGAAAAATTTAATTTCAGTTCAAAGAATTTTGATGCTCTGGATGTTTTCGAAACCATTACTCTATGAGTTGGCTCGCGCTCAAAGATTTTTCCAGTAACTTCTCGAGTCTCGAGGCGAGCAGCGAAAGCGGAACACGGCCGAGTTGAAAATAACTTGAACGACATTGCCCTCACCTTAAGAGATGGGTTCTCCTGGAACAGAAAATAAATGCATGTTTCTTCAACTGGACCCTCTCTTACAGTTTCCATTTGCATGGAAAAGGACGGTCTTTGCTTTAACCTAGATACTAAACGATTGACTGCAGACCAGTATTTGAACCTCGATGTCTTGGAATATAACTTCTACCATGTTTCTAATGATCCTGCAATTCAGCTGATTGCTCTCTAACTTTGGTATGGCTAGTTTCTGTACATTGGATCTAGTACGTGCTTCTTCAGACTTAGTAATTCTTCCCATACGTCATGATAAGCAGATCGATTTTAGAAGGTGTTCTTTGTTCCCCGATAGAAAAGGTAACGTGATCCACCTTGAAGTTTCAAAGCTTTTCCAGGAGCCAGTAACTGACCTTGAAAGTATGGCAATCGATCAAACTTCTTTCGGAACACAAACAGCAGTCCTCTTTTGTCTTGCTCCAGGGATGTTTCTTGGTAGGTGTTTCTTGGCGTTGGTTTATTTCTTCTTCTTCGTCATGATCACCCTTAAATGGCGCAAACTGGTTTTGGTACACTACTTTCGGTTTACCATTCGAGATCTTACTCGTGTGGTAAATGACATCATCTATTTTCTATTTGATAAGGTACGGACCTTTCCAAGACCTTTGGAGCTTCAGAGTATAACCCTTTTGTCTTTTTGGGTTATGAAGCCAGACTTTGTCGCCTTCCTTGTAACATCCTTCTGCTGCTTTCCAGTTTTATCCCATCTTCCATTGAATTTCACAATTTCACTATCGATTTTGTCAGGCCAATAAAAGAGCCAGTTTCAAAAAGTATTTGGTTGTTTGCCGTCTTGGCCAATACATCAGCAAGATGGTTACCATTCGATGTATCATGATCTTTAATCCATCTTAAAGTGACCAGATTTCTGATGGATACTTCGACCAAAGCTTCATGACATTCTATAGTACTAATGCTGTGTAAATTCTTGATCTGTTTAGAATGAGCAATGCTTGTCTGATATCTGTATAATTGAGCATGTTCCTTCCAGTGATATTATTTTTTGTGATTTCTATTGCTGCTATGAGAATCCCTGTGAGCTATGTTTGAACTACACTGCCACTATTGCTCACAGCCCATTTTATGTTTAATTTTAAGGATCTGGAGTACATTCCACATCCTGAGGCTTCTTTTGTTTTAGATCCGTCGATATAGATATTAATCATACCTGCCACTTTTGGTTCTTCTATTTATTTTGTTATAACGTTATATGGATTATGGAAGATATACCTTGGTGCTATGGAGTCCATGTGCGCTAAAAGCAGTGGGATCATATCGAGCGCCTCCTGCCAAAAGCGACGTCGCACCTCACCTCAGCAGATCCTACATCAGGTTCTATTCTAACCTTGCGTAGCAAGTTCCTTGATGTAAATATTTAGAGGAGTGAGACTAAGAATGAGTTCCATGGCTCTGGTCGGTATGGTTTTCATGGCTCCTGTTATGTTAAAACATGCTATTTTTTTTAAATTTGTTCTAGATTGCGGATAGCTGTTAATTTTTGGGTAATCGGTACCCTGAAAACTTCACTGTATATTAACATAGGTCTGTTGATAGCTGTGCAAGTCCATACGATCCCTTTGGGGAAGAAAGCCCAGGTCCGCCCTAGAGTTTGGTCATATTGTTTATAAGCAATGTATGCTCTTTTGACTCATCACTGTTCTTACTGTTCTTATTGGCGAAGTTTTAAATAAGCTAGCTAAACTATAGCCTACGGCGACAATTTTTTTCCGCAGCTATTAAAAACGTATTATTAACTTGGTCGAATTACTTATCTACTCGATTTTTGTTGTTATTAATTAATTATCAAAAATAGGAATAGGTAATAGTTATATGTGTATTCTGCTTTGGGACACCCTGTATATATGAAACTTATTTTAAATATAGTTTGTAGTTTAGGTGTTACCTTCCAAATTCCCCGTAAACGCAGTCCGCGTTCAGGCCACAAAATGAACTTACCAAGGTAATTTCCAACTTACGAAGATCTACAGGTAACGCAAATAGTTTTGACTAATGAACAGCCCTGTCTCCAGTTTCGCTCTGATTGGAGAAGGCGAGGTTTGTTTAGTACCAGGATTCACAGTATTTAAATGTGAGCGCCAAACCGATTTAAATGCCAGATCAATGTTTCCTTGTCCCTAACCTAAATCGATCAAACAATAGGAACGAAATGAGAAAACGAAAATTCCTGTTTATGCCATTTAATAAGTTGTTAATCTACCTCAGTAGTGAAACTGAACAATGTACCCCCAGTTTTTATCGTAATACATCAACGGTAAAAACTTTTAACCTATAATATCAATTATCACCATTTTCCACAAATACGTGATGTTAAAACATACAAGTGTTATTTTATACACACAGTAAGTATGTCCCTTGGACAAAAAAAGAAATATACAGATGTATTATGGCATGAAATAAAAGCAAATGTTACTAAGGTCGATGTCCCTGGGACAGAAATCAAATCTTAGTTGGGGTTAATCATCCCCTGCCGCAAGAGTAAATAAAACTTATTAACACAGAGTCAAGGCGCTGGCACCAGGGGCTCACTCTGTAAGTGCTATTTGCACAGTGTATTGTAAATATAAAGTTTATGAAACCCGTTTAAAATACCACTTGATTTCAGTCGTACTATTTATAATAACCTATTAGCTAAATAAAATTAATAAAGTCCTATTACTAAGTTACATACTATTTCATATGAAGTAGAAATAAACCCCTTCCCAAAATATTACTTAAAAAAAGAACTAAAGTGTCTATTGCAATGATTATGCCATAAAATGGCATGAAAGAAAATTAATTACCCAAATTAAATAAAACCTCTTTTATCCATTCGGTGTTCTCCGTTGACCTTCGATGAACTTTCCAGCTGCGCCTCTGCAGCTTCCTCCAATACTGATGAACAATCCTCAACCAGAGCTAACTAGATGATACTACAAATTACACTTTTAGTATCTGTGGGGGTAATAGCAAAACCCTCGGAGGTGGAACACCAAAATACAGCTGAGTCCACTTCTGTGTACTGTACACTGAGACTTTACAGCAAAACCGTACTCGAAAACTGTACATTAAAACTGTACAATAAAATTGTCTATCAAAACCCTAAAAATTCGAGAAATATAAATAACCGAGCAGGCTTAGGGTAACGTATCCCCTCCCAGTTCATAAAAAAAAACTAATAACTATAAATAAAAAAAAAAATACCCACCCCGTTTAATATTTAATATAAAACCGGCTCTTAACTGACTGAATTCGCTTCATAAAAAAACGACGAAAGAAATATATATTCCAATAAATGGCGAAGACGAAAAAAACTACTCAAACCAAATGGAGTTTCTGGCTCACCAAAACAATATCCACAAATATTTTTGTCCAGGAAAATAATCCCTACACTCGTAGGGATTTTCTGGAACCAAAGCACAATTCTCCTAAAGTTGCTAATAGCAAGTGACAAAACTCAGCCATCACCCGGAAACACGTCACAATTCAAACCTTCTAGAACAAAATAGTCGTCACGCAAGCTCCAGTCTAACCGCACGTCCGGCAAAAACAGCTGAGACCGTATCCCAGAATGATCAAGGCCTTGAAAAAAAGAAAAAATGGCTGAATTTAATACACGTATACTGTCTCAACCGTCAGAACCACAATCGAACGCGCTTCGACTATGACAGAGTCTACATTTAACTTTTCCAAACGTCAAGTCAGTTGAGTCTAGCTGTTTACGTCAAAACAATATTAACATATATTATATAAATTGATCGAATTAACGAACTAAAAATACTGCATACACAGAAAAGTTCAAACAAAATCCCCCTTAAAACTATTTAAATTACACCTAATATATTTTAGAAAATTGTTCAGATGTTCTATAACCACAGTGAAATATAGTTTTCACCTGACTGAAAGTATGGCGAACTCACAGGAAAAAACAAAATTGTACAAAAAAATATAAGCACGTCAGCTTGCCTAATTGATAAAGACAAACCTAGGTTAAACTAAAATCTCAGGTCATTTTAGATGTAATATTTCATGGATTAATCACACGATTATCAAAGTAAGTAATTTTAGATTATACTGTCGAACTTGCGTCATATGCTTTATCAAAACAAACTTAAGAAAAATAAAAATAAACTCTCTCCGCTGATGGAGTAAGAAGGATTACAATATTGACAAAAAACGAGTCATTAAAAGCATCGTCAAGGACACCCCATCGTCAAATAAATTAAGCAAAAAGTCAGAAACTCGTAAGCGCCGATTAACAAATTCAATTAGTGTCACTACAGTGAAACCCGAAGAATTTCCACTAACAGCCGTAAGCTGGAAATGAAAGAACTATCCCAGGTACTCTAGGACGGAAATATTATTTGAAGTGTCATCATGACCACTACCACAATATTCAAATAAACAAAATAGATATTGGGGGTTATGATTGACAACCTGTGTTATTTTTAACAGGTCTGTTATTTTATAAACACACAGAAATTACAACCTGTTCAAAAATAACGTGTCTGTTAAAAATAACATTACTTGTCGATCATAACCCCGTAAATCTGCGTGCCACCACAACATGCCCCGAAGAAATCTGTCGACAGCTGTAAGCTGGAAACTAGAAATGACACAAAACACTTAAAATATGTATCACATTAATATTTAAACTTCATAGGACACAGAAAGATACCGCCAAAATATACAGAGTGTATCCAAAAACAAAGTAAATTGCCAAAATCAGTTATCACTTACATTAAGGAAGTATATTTGTATTCTTAATGCCAGTTATTATCAGTTTAATCTATTTTTCTCGTTGCAACTATCATAGTTGAAGGTGATTTTTAGGAAAGTTCGCAATTAATTCTGTGACAATAAGGTAAAGCAAGCATCGTAGACGTAAGTACTGATTCATTCATAAATCACATGTTTGCTTCTCAGATAAACAAACTAGCCAAAACCATCCCCACTTTTTATTATGGCAGCCAATGCGACTGCCCTGTCTGCGTAATATAAAATAAAATCTGAATGATTCCAGTAAATAAGAGCTATTAATGGATTAGTCTAGTAGTTTTTTGTCGTTGATTAAAATACTAAAAAACTATTTCTTCTATTTCAGTTTCTGTTTCAATCTATAAGAAAATATACACAACTGTTTTTTGAATATTCTGTATATATTGAAAATGGTTTCTTTAAATTTATCTTTAATTCAGAAGACCTATTGAATGTGTATATGTTATTAAAATTTGATCAATAAATAATTTTTGATATATGATGAGGACAGAAGGTGAATTGGCTAAGCAGTGTAAAGGGCGAGTCTTAGATAATGTGATGTTTATGATGTATACAGAGGCAAAAACCAATGTAAGGACGGCCAATGGAGATACGAATATGTGCTCAGAGGCAAAAAAATCAGGGGCCCTACTCTCGAATGTGTATTTCTAAATGTTGTATACGTCATTGATGAAATGTCGAATAAGAACGCAAAAACGTATTCTCGAATAGTGAATTCAATATTTTTTATCATTCGAGATAAAGTCGAATATTGTTCAACCAGTCGACATTGTATTGTTGCATCCCTCTTTAAAGGTTAAATTATAATATGTATGTGAGGTATGATGTGAGTGTTGTGACAGTGACAGTTTATTTTTCTTCTTAAGAGAAATTAAAACAATAGCGTTTTTCACTGGCACTGGGCACTGAGTATATTTGTGTCCATGTTTATCGATATGAAAAAGAAGAAAGTAAGAATTTTAAATATTCTATCAAAAATATATTCTATTATTAATAATTATTATTAATTATTTGGGACACTCGGTTCAACTAATATCAATTTGTGAAAATTAAACGAATAGTTGGTTTTTACCAATACCTTATCACTGAAAGACATGCGTAAATCGGAAAAGGCACTAAAAGCGAAGAATTTAAATTTGGTATTGTGTTGAACGATCATTCTTCTGCAACCAGTACGGAAATATTTTATTAAATTGATTGCTATAGGCCAATCATTTGAATATTTCTTTCAAATTGTGTAATTTGGTATTTTGATGTAGTTTTTACAATTTTGGTATACCTTTATATGGATTTAACAAATAAAGAAGAAATAAAGAAAACGTCTCTGCAATAAGGCTTGCTGTGTGAAAGGTCAGTAGTTTTCGATTTTAAGTAGAAGTTTAGTACAATAACTTTTCTTTCTTTAGGAGTTTTTTTATCCCTTATATGGGTTTTTATAAGACTTTATTATATGGATTTGGATCAACTGAAATTATTCAAACATCAGATGAATTATTAATACGGATCCAAACATGAAATGTGTTTTCCAGTACAACTTAAGGGTGCTTTCTGATCATCATCAATAACAGTAGAACGATAAATACCCGATTGTAGGAATTTTAATTAATTTCAAACATTCTTTTGTGTTTTTATAATCTTTTGGACATTTTCAAAACCTTTCGTGACATTCGTTATTTTCTAATGGTTTTATTTATTTTCAAAAATTAAATAATTATTTATTTGTGTAGTGGATACTTGGGAAGAGGTAGTTATTATTGGGGTTTTGTAATCTTCACTAAGCATTGATAATCTCTTGCAAGAGCTAGCGATAAGTTACAATTTATTTTATACCCTTGCTGTTTATTAATATAGTATATTACATTACGAGTGTGGAAAGTGACATTTTTCACACGAGTGGGAAATATTGTCGCACGAGGCGTAAGCCGAGTGCGACTATTACACGAGTGTGGAAAATCACTTTTCACACAAGTGATGTACAATATTTTTCCTACGACCACAAAATAATTTCATCAAAAAATGTAAAACCAGATTATTATAATAATTAAAATGTATTTAAAAAAATAATCAACAATAATCGTATTTATTAAATTTTCATAATTTCTAAACAAATAAAAAAATAAAAAAAAAATAAAAAAAAAAAATTTGGCACAGCCAGGATTCGATCGCGGTCGTTGGACGGTCTCAAATTGCAAAGTTGATGCTCTAACCAACTGAGCTAACAGGCCTTACGGTAATTGATTGATCTAATCGCTTATGTGTTTAACCAGAATAAAAAGCAAATATATCTTAGTTATTTTAAAATTATTTTAAAAATAATTGTTAAAGATAAATATCTAGGATCTAATTTACAATAATTTAACAATCATATCGATTTTAGCATTAATATGGACATTACATAGATCAAAATAGAAATTATGTGTTTGACATTTTCTGACAGCTACTGCGGAAAGTAGCATATTCTCACTTGGGTGGAAAGTAAATTCTTATTCATACGCGTGTGATATAGGGCACTTTCCATAGGTCTATATAGTGTGATATGTGTCACTTTCCTAAGTGGTCGTAAGAAAAAGTATTATTCCATCCATATTGCGTTTTTATGCTCTATGCTTTCCTATATAATAACTGTTTAACGTACAGCACGCGAAATTAACGTAATAACCTTTACAAAATTGTGCTGTAAAACTATCCCAAATTTCTTACAATTTGGTACGCAATTGATGTACGTTTCGTTAAGGATTATTTTTTAAATTGTTTTATTTTGTGCCAAAGTGTTTCTATCGGATTAAGATCTGTACTACTTGAGGGATGTGATCAAACTTTAACATCGTTGTCTCCAAACCTTTTTTTGTTGTTTTTGCGATGTGACATGATGGAATATATAATCTCCATTCGGATATTCTTGCAGCACTTTGTAATAAGGAGTCTTCAAGAATATTTTTGTATTTCTTTGCATTTACAGTCTCTTCAATAAATAAAGTGCCCAATCCTTTAGCTGACATGCATCCGCAAACCATAAAGCCTTGTGGCAGTCTTTATGGAAGGCGTCTGTCTTGTCTCGAATTACACGTTTACGATAATAGTCCACGCATACATCACATTTACTTTCGACGCTAAATATGACCACGACCACGAAAGCGTAGATTTAGCCCAAATGTAACGATTCTTTTTTTGTTTCTCTGTCAGTAATGGTTCTTCTTTAGCCTAAAAATTTTAATAAATTAATAGTAAAAAGTTATAAAGTAAGTAAATATTGTTACGCAGGTTTTTGGTATCTCAATTTATTTCAACTCAACTTTTACAATAACTATAGAACTGATAACAATAACGTATAAGGTTCATTATAAAACTGACTGACTAAAGCCTTGGTTTCTTTGAACACTCCGTCACGATGAGCAGATACTCCGTCGACCGCTGAGGACAGCGATTTTCGCCCAAAGCCTTGGTTTCTTTGAACACTCCGTCGCGGTGAGCGGATAGTCCGTCGACCGTCGCGTTTTGACGATTTTATCTAACCAGAGTATTTAAATGGGAACGGTTTTCTTGAATCCGCTTAGCTAAGCAGGACAGCGTCATGCCGCTGATTTATCGCGAATAGTCGGTTCATATCTGTTGAGTTTGATATCAGCGGAATCGTCGGCGTGTGCGGAGACAGTTTGTGAATACAAATAATTATATTGTTATTAGTTTTAAAACAATGAGTGACAAATTCACACATACAGATCATGAAATCTTAATAGATTTGGTTCGACAACATCCTCCTTTATACAGTGTGGCAGGAAATGTCGTCCTTTATAAAACTAAACACGAATTCCAAAAGATCTGTAAAAAGTCTAAAATACTCATTAAACATACAACCAATTCATTTGAGTCCATTTTAGTACCTTTCGTTTCTAATCATAATACATAAACAGCACATACAGACAAATAAAGTCTAATTTTCTATATTTAAACAAACCACCTCGGGCGAAAATCGCAATCCTCAGTAGTCGACGGACTGCTCACCGCGACGGAGTGTTCAAAGAAACCAAGGCTCAAAAGGTGGTTTGTTTAAATAAAATATAGAAAATGAAACTTTATGTCTGTATGTGCTGTTTATGTATTATGAGTAGAAACGAAAGGTACTAAAACGGACTCAAATAAATTGGTTGCGTTGTTATTATTGTTGAAGAGAAGGAAGAAGAAGAGGAACTGGCAATTGCAACAGTCAAAGTTTCAAATAAGCCAGTGGATAAGTTGGTTTTTGTGTCGCGATACAGAAGGTGCCTTTAATATCACTGTACTGTTGAGTTTTGTAAAGGACGTCATTTCCTGTCACACTGTATAAAGGGGGATGTTGTCAAACCAAATCTATTAAGATTTCATGATCTGTATGTGTAAATTTGTCACTAATTTTCTTAAAAATAATAACAAAATAATTATTTGTATTCACAAACTGTCTCCGCACACTCCGACGATTCCGCCGATATTAAACTCAACAGATATGAACCGACTAGTTGCGACAAATCAGCGGCATGATGCCCTCCTGCTCAGCTAAGCGGATTCAAGAAAACCGTTCCCATTTAAATACTCTGGTCAGATAAAATCGTCAAAACGCGACAGTCGACGGACTGTCCGCTCACCGTGTCGGACTGTCCAAACCACATACTTTGATTAATATACGAGGCAAGAGAGAGGTCCGACACGCCCAACATAGGGCGCGGCCATTTTGAACCCTGTGACACAATTTACAGCTAAAGAATCAGATCGCTCACTCTGCGTCGGTACTTTTGATCTCAATGTTTCAGTTTATACACTGTGCAACTCGGATAATACAATATATGACAACCGCCTATAATAAAACAGCAATCTTCTACGTATCCTGAATTTGTATCCCTGAAGTGGATGTTATTTTGGAAATTTCAACTGGTCCGAGTGAGCTAACTGATTCTTTAGCAATAAATTGTGACTTCAAAAATAATATTCACTGACACTGACAGCAGCAAGCAAAATATCAGGTGCGTTTTAATCATCCGCTTCTGCTTCTGGAATTGTCGGTTTAGTCGTTTTAACCTGTCAGATTAAAACAAGAAAACCGACAATTCCGAAGCAGAAGCGGATGATTAAAACGCACCCATTAAAAATATTGCGCCAAGATGTAGGCAACACGTAATAAGGGTTCAAAATGGCGGAGTTTTCTATCTCCTTTTAAAAGGCACTCAGAAAGCTGCGCAGTGCGACCATTTTCCGTATAGTAAAAGAAAATCAAAGTATGTGGTTCAAACCCAGTATTCGCTCCGTGCGCGACAGCAGCGCCAATTTGTTTTGATATTAAAGGAGTATTTCTGCCTATACTGACAAATACAATTTTTAATAGAATTCGTAAATAAAAAGTATATATATGTTAGTTTTAATAAAAGTATATGGATTTATAAAACAATTAAAACATTAATTTATTATTATTATTATATATTTTTCACGCTTAAATTGAAGAAAATTATGTATAATCATTAAAAATCAATAATAAAATATAGGCAGGCAACAGTATTTACTGGAAAATGTATGAGAAGTTGCCTAAGTCTAATAAGTTGTCATTGAAGAAACCAGCGTGAAGTTAAAATGTATAAAAAGGATCGCTACTTATATTTTCATTTTTGTTCTAAAGAAAACATAGAATGAATGATTAAAACTGGTTTCCGATCAGTAAGTCACAAAATTGCATACCAGCCAAATATTATAATCAACGGCAGAAATCTTGAAATCTAGTCCTTGCTGAATGAACATTTAAGAATAAAGGGATATTAAAGAACATCGTAAAATGATAATTTATTGTTTATTTAAAAACTTTCTAGTTTCTGATGTCTACTATTTCCAGCATTACTGTTACTATCACAAAAATAAAGGTAATTTTTCTTCTTATTGTACACCTATCCATTTATTTCTTTGATTTAATTTCCACTTTGTTAGTGAAATTTGTTATATAAGTTTCTCTGTTTTTTTTGCTAGTATTTGTACAATTTTCAACACAGCAACTCCGGTTGCTTATTGTGTTGTTTTTACCTACTTTTTTGAAAAAAAGTAAAATGTATACGTGTATTTGATATGCCAAAATTACAAAATATCCCCCTAAAATGCACGAATTATCCGCAGCTAGCGCTAGTATCGCTTTTGCTTCCCTTTCCATGACTTCGCACGGAGCGAATATATACCAATCAGTATTGGCACTCTGAGGCGGCACGTTTGATCTTTAAAAATAGAAATTTTAGTTGACACTTGACGTTTTCGGGATATGAAAAGTTTTCTTTACACGGACTTGGTATACCTGCATGGTTAGTTGAATTTTTGTTCTGCTGCTTTTCAAATTCGTGTGTATGAGGGAGATGTGAGATACCTTTATAGACAACGGTTGAACAACTTAATTACTTTGAAGAAGAAAATAGATTAGATATCAGGGCAGTCATCGCAAATGTAAGAAGGACAGAACCGTTTTAAATTTTTTTATATATGTGAAATATTACTTTTTGGTGAAAAGTTTAATTACCTTTAGTTCAAAATATAACGTTAGTTTGTCAAGGGAAATATATAACACACAAGGTTAGAGTAACACAATAAAGGTATTGCTTTATTTCTTAAGAATTACTCTAATCTAAAACTTTTCTAGTATATTGTAAAAATTTATTCTATACGTTTATGCAGTACCTAAATGGTACTGCAAAATCTATAGGAAAGTATGTAGTTTTAAATTTAAAAATTTGTAACGGAGACATATTTAGTGTAGTTTTTTTACAAATATATACTCAGTGACTTGTTTTTGTAAATGAGTTCAAGTATGGCAGACTAAAATCGTTATTTTTTTATTATGAATTAATTTGAATTTATTTTAAAATAGGAACTATATATATATATGGTTTTCGTAGTTTTTACACTTGTGATAAAAATATCAAAGTTATGTATATTGGCCATTTACTACACACAGCAAATTCATAGACACAATATACATATTACTATTTGACATTCTTGTAAAACCACTAATTTAAAATTGATTTTAAACTAAGTGACTACACACGGAATTGTTTGAAAGCAGCCATAAGGTATAATTTATTTATTGGATACTATAATAAAATTAATAGTAGTTACATGTAGAGTTAAGTAACAAGAAATTTAAGACCAAAAACAAAATAAACCTTTATATCTAGTGAACTTAATTTAGTACAGTCCTCAACTTTCTTAGGCTAACATTAAAGATATCTATTTGGATCTTGCTAAGAAACTCATTGGTAACAGCCATCATCTTGTTAAAAGGAGATACTACTTGGATCTTAATCAAATAATTTTTTGTTACTTGGGTTTCTTAGATTAATCTTTGCCGCATTAACATATCAATTCATAATCTTTGTACTTAAAATAGAGTACAAAATATATCACAGCCTGTTGCTTTCTTCTTTGTAAAAGAGATTTAATCTTAAAACTATTGAGCATAGTTTTATACGAGATCTTAGGTATAAGGGTACAAGTATTTTTTATGACATAAAGGTGCCGTAAAAATATTTTTTGCACTTTTTCAATATGATCAATTTGTGTGGCTTCCAAGGGCATCCATATTTGTGCAACATACTCAAGATGGAGTCTTACTAAGGCATTATATAATCTGATTTTGGTGGTAATCCTAAATTTTTTTGTATTTCTGATTAAAATACCTAATGCTTTTATTGCTTTTTTAGTTATGTGTAAAAAATGGTTATTGAACTTCAAATTAGACTGAAAGACAACTCCCAAATCCTTTACCTCCTATTCACGATATAATGTGACATCACAGGTCTTATTTCTAATGTAAAACATTAAAAGGCTATGGATCCTTACAACTTAAAATATGTATACGTTTGTAAGTGTTAAATAGACGGATAAAAAGTGTTGATTTTTATTTACAACTATAATAAGAACCCATTAAAAAGATTAAAAGCAATAGAACATTTTAACAAATTTCTATAGGTACACATATTTTTGATACCTGATAATCAATAAATAATATATGTTTTGGAGTAGCAACAGGTTTATTAATACACAACTATTATTTTGTTACAAATACTTATAATATTTATAATTAACATAATAGTTGATATAAGTCCTTTAAAAATAATATATTTTGATTTAATTGTTGAATTTATACATGAGCAATTTTGCTTGTAGCCTGTAGACAATGTTAATGTTTTTGCTACTACTGCTGGCTAGGAATGCTGGGCTGGGACACCAACAAGAAAAAAGGAAGCACAAAGCACTAGATGTTTTTATCCCTTATACACGTACAATTTACAACCATTCAAGTAACTAGCATATTGGAAATACTTCACGAAAACATATTAAACATAAATCTGTCGAAGGCAATGTATTTTATTTTTATAACACACCTTTTTAGCTTGATTACTTTTAGTACTCTATTTATTCCAATGTCCTCAAATAAAACGAGCAATAATAAGGATAAAATACACACTGAAGTGTATTTGGGGTATTTTTGATCTAAATCCACTATCAAAATACCAAATTTTCCGTTTTCAAGCTGTGAATGTATTACAAAAACTACTTCGATAAAATGTAAACAAAGTTTATTTATATTTGTGTACGAAATATGGGTTGCCTGCGCATGGTAGCGAGTTTTTAACCGGATTCATATCCCGAAAACGTCAGCGCAGTAAAAGCTGCGCGTCTTTTTCCCGCCCAGGGAGTGTCATGGGCCTGGTTCAAAGAAACCAAAGCTTTATATAGCTTGCTTTAACCTTCTCGAACCTTATCGAACTGTCCAGATTTTTGCTCTGTCCTCCCTAGACGAAATTTGAGCACGACGCCGTAGGCGGAGTGTTCAATCGTCTGAGTGCGATGTGGATAATCCACTCAAGTTGTAC